CTGAAAGTATCATGACGCTTCTTGATTTAGGCTTCAATGACATTTTTCGGATAGACTTTTTAGGCTAACAGAAGGGGGAAATGAGCTCTTGTTCCTCCAGAAGGAGATGACAGTGTATTTTAAAAAAAAAAATATGTATGAGGGCTAATTAACTTGGCATTTACAGCTTAGCATTCTCCTAGATACATTTACTCCGAGACCACATTTTGTTGCAGGGAAGTTTCTGCCTAGCATCTCTTTCCTCCTGCTGCTTCATATGCTGTGATATTAAGGTCACGAGGTATCTTCCAATATCCATTTCAGTGCCTTCCAATTAAGTAATGAATAAAGCAAAGATCCCAGGTATGGTTTAGCTGTGAGGGTGGAGGCATCTCTCAGAGGGGCTCCTTATAATCCTGGTCAATGCTTCAACAGCTAGGAAGAGCCTCTTGGGACAGGGTCCTAGAGCAGCTTGCTACAGAGCAATGATTTAACTGGTGGAGATGCTGTTGTTGCTTCTCACTGTAGAGGGAAACTCTGAAAAGGTCATACTAATGAGGGGAAGGAGACCATTTTGGTGAGGATTTTATCTCTTCCTCTGACGCTAAGGCCTTGTCAAATAATTTCCTCTCTGAGCATGCTGTGGTTATGGTTAGCAAGCTGGGGGGTCAGACAGCCCAGATACATGGGCAGAATGGGGCAGGTGAAAAAACTCACGTCCTTGCTGCTGCAGGCTCTCCAGGCCCCTGCTGTGGTGTGCAGGACATGGCCACCAGCCACCTATCCCACCACAGGAACTCCAATATCCTGTTTGCTTGTGCTATGCATGTGCTTCATGGCTATGTGGCAGAACAAGGCAGTGCTTGCTCTACTCAGTAGGGAGGCACAGCTGAAGAAAGAAAGCTTAAGCTTGTTTCAACAAGGTGTGGTGACTACGTTAAAATTATCTGGATGTCATTTAACTCTCAGCAAAGTCCTCCCTCTGCTGCCAGGATCATTTTCTGCCCCAGCGAGCATCACCTGCCCTCAAGAGAGCATCCAACACTAGAATCCAACTGGGAATTTGTGCATTATCTAAGTAATTACCACAAAGAAGGGAAAATGGGTTCACCTGTACCTATCCAGAGAGCAACCAGACACAGTGGCAGCCGAAAAAAAAACCCTACTTAGAGAAAGCACCAACATAATGAATCACCATAGTCTGCATGAAAGGGTAGTTAATAGGGTGCTCTCATTCCAAAATCGTATTAGATGGCAATGAGTTCACGTCAGTTGCTCTCCCCACACTTCGCCTCTCTGCTGTCCCAAATTGAGTTAAGGTAATCCAGATGCACCTCTTACTGCTTTAGGAGAAAAATATGGCAAGATCAGTTATTCACTTTCCTCACTATTCCCACAATACCAAGCTATAAATATAAGTGGTGGTGATGGGTAAATAAACAAATGAATAAAAGACACATACACAAACTCCAAACAAAACATTCAGTTGTTGTGAAACTCAGAAGCATTCATCAGGGCTCCAGTGTATTAAAGATGATACAGAATGGACTCAGCATCCAGCTTTTGAGGCTGGTAAGTTAGAATTAGGGTAACGTGGCTAGTGAAGAAGACAGGCAGGATGGAAAAAGGAATGACATGTGATTAATAGAAATAACTGTGTGAGAGACTAGTGTTAATAACCAATGCTTCCCACAGCTCTCCTGAGTGGAATATGCTGCCTACCTAAAAGCCCATCACAGCTGCATTTAGGTGGGTGCAGAAGAAGCCTCCCAAGGAATATTTCTCAGAGTGAGCTGTTTCTAGGTTAAGTCCTACTCTATAGCAAGAAAAACGAGGCTATGTATTTTGTAGAATCACCTGCATGTATTTACTGACTCCCCAGAGATCATGGCTTGGCACCACTAAACTGCAGGCTGGCTCAAACGGCTTTTAAAAACAGCCACCCCCACTCTGTTTGAAAATGGCTCCAAATTTTGATCCTTTTCTTGATGCAGCAAAGCTCCTTTCTGCCCCTGAGCTCAGAGAAGCAGGTGCTCTTGTCAGGCAGAATATCTCTGCCTGAGATACTCTGCAACAGGCAGAATAACCAGAAGCACATCTCAGAAGCACATGATGTACTAGGTTCTCTGGAGACTGCTAATAATGTTTGATTAATTTTTATTATCAGTGTAAGCAATCTTTGGGCTTTCTGCATCTGCCTTATTTAGAGTTGTCATTTCTTTCTTAGTTAAATGGCAGCTTCTACAGACAGTGATCTAATTGTTCCTCAGGACCAGCTTGAAGCTACCCAAGATAAGGATGGTCATTGTATGATTTGCAGTACACATGATTTGGTCTTTAAGGTGCAGATCAAATAAAATGGAATAGCAGATTAGCCAGTAATTGAATGAAGTTGAAGGCAATGTGCAGGCTGATGCTGGGGTCACAGAAATGCTTGGGCTGGACAAGGTTGAATAATGGATCAAATCAAAATATGCATGATGCAGTCACCAAGAGGCAGGACAAACAGCTTTTCAGCAGATAGCCTGACCTCATATCATGCAAACTGCTTTGTCTGTCAGAGCAATGAGCTTTTGCAGTGGATTTTATACTGAGTCCTTACAGTGCTATAAAACTCAGGACACAATACTCAGTGGCTGCTGGTGGGGCAAGTGCCTGGGATGGGTTATGGGCTGTCACTTATGGACTGCCAGCATCCTTGCGTGTGATGCAGGAAGCACCTTATGCTGACCCCTGTGACAGTGAACCTGGCTCCTGAATGCATTTTAGGTAGCACACAGAGGTATGAGGTGAGGGATGCTCAGAGGACTGCTGTTGGAGGAAGTGTGCACAGAGTCTGGCTTGCTGTTGCAGCCGTGATGCCCTCTCATGGGCACTTGCAGGTCCAGAACATCAGAGGTGGTAAGTCAGCCATTGCTCACACCTCAGTATGGCCATGACTGGGCCAGGACAGAGCACTTGCCAGCCCTGAAGAGTGTTCAGTGTCAGAAAGGGGATAACTCTGTCAGAATCCAGCTGCACATTCCTCTCAGTTGGGCAGGCTTGGAGAAGCCCCTTTGTGGGCTCTAGCCCTCTGGTGAGTCCCATTTATATCCCAGCACTTTCTTGGTTATATCGGGCCTAAGTTTGCTTCCCTCCTATCCAGACGACAACATGCACTTGTTGAGGCATGTATGGAGTAACTGGGAGTGGTAGAGCCAAAGCCACAAACTGAGCTCTTGGTCTTCATATAAAAAGCAAAACAAACTTAGAATCTGTACTGGAAAAAATGTTTTAAAATACTTTTAACTTAAAAGAACAGAATGACTACCATCCTCCAACTCACTATAGCACTGGTCTGGGAGGCAGGAAAACAGCTCACTTTCCACCACTGCCACCAAGCTTCAGTGTCCTGAATTCATCTTTATGCTCCACATTTCTTATCTATACAGCCAAGAGCATCAGCTCCAAAGACTTGTGCCTGGATAGCTGCTGGTTTGACTGGCCTGTATTTGGCCCTTGTGAAGGCCTTGCTCTTGAGGTGCTCCCAGAAGGCATACAGCTTTTGGAGGATGGGCAGGATAAGGCTCACTCCCAACAAAAGCAGATCTTCCTCTCCACAATAATTAGTCCGAATAACTCCTTGACTTCTATTACATGAGATGAGGAGTTATTTGAAGTGCTGTTATATTTTAATTCATTTCAGCATACATGGAGAATCAGGCACATTGTACCCAGCACCAATGAAAACAAATATAGCCCCCAGAGCAAAACCAAAAGTCATTCCAAATTATATTACTGAGCAGCAGTGTGCAGTATAAAATGGGAGACAAAACTCTGCCATCTCCCCAGTGTTCGGGTGGTGGAGAGCTTACTACTTTCTGTTCTAACAATCCAAACATCACTATTTGAAATAGACCTTTCTTTCCTTGCAAAACACTTCTTGTTAATTGAAGGAAGAAGCATTGTCTGGGGTTGAACTCTGCAGCCTGGGTATGGCTGTCAGATGTGATGAGGCAGTCAGGGGGAAGCTTGCAGGGAGCTGCTTTGCAGGGTGTTGTCATGGGAACAGAGCAAGTAGGGCATCCTCCATGCCGTGTCTTCCACATAAACTCTGGCTATGTAGTCGCACAAAATCAATGCTGTTCTGCAGCATGAGAAGAGCCAGCTACTAGGCTGTCTCTATTAGAGGTTCAATCTGAATGAAACACAATGGCCAGAACCTTCCTATGCATGAATGTGGCATTACTTCTGATCTGAATAGAGCAAGACTTTACACCAGCTGAGTGTCTAGGCACAGATGTCAGAGTGAAAGGGCTGACATGAAAAATACCTGCTGGAACTACAGTTTCTTTTAAGAGCCCTCTGAAATATGGCCATGTTAGAAAGCAGTTACTGAGGGCCTTGTTTACTTAGATTATTTCTCTTGATTTTTACTGTCTGTGCACATTTTGACAGGCTATGGATTTGGCACCCATAATGGTTCCACGGCAGAAGGCAAAGGGTAGAGCCCCATGTGTACATGTTTGGCGTACAAGCTAAGAATACAAAATATTGACATAATGTCAATATTTGTGGTCATCTGAAGTATCTGACTCCCTTTGCACAATGCTGTCTTTGAATGAAACTTACCTCCTCTGTACAGGTCTATATATGTGGAATTACTCGAATTTTCTTCTATGTTTATAAGAAAAACCTCGTGTGATACTGTGGTTGCTAGAGATAAGCAATGGTTAAGAATGAGAATGAATAAGAATATCAAAAACCCTGCTTGTGCAGTTATAAGGAATTATGTATCTAAAACAAATAAAGCATATTGTTAATGTTACACCACAGAGACCAGTGACAGTATGATCAAATGCAGTAGGTAACCCAAGGTCTGAGAAAGGCTGAAAATGCTAACTGAAAAAAGGTTAAAAGTGCAAAACTCAACTCATAGCCTCCAAGCTTTCATTTTGCCTTGCCCAGGTCTGCTGACAAAGAGCTCTTAATTAAAGCAGGTATCTGCAGTACAACTGCACTACTGTCGCTGACCCGGGCCAGCAAGATGCTGAGCCTATGTTCCTCATTTCCTATTGACACTGAAGTGTGAATGAGGGGCCCACATCCATCCAGGGCTCGCTTGATGTGTACTTTGGAAAACAGACCAAAATAGCAGGCAAGGGAAGAGAACAGAGCCAACACATGGAGGGGTTCCTAGTTATTTGTTGAGGTTATTGATTAAAGCCCCTCTGCTTAGCAACAAGTTTGAGAAAAGTAATGATAAATTGTTACAAAAGGCCTGTAGCTGTATCATAAAAATAGCCTTGCCTTGTCTTTCATGTATCTCTCACTGGCTATGGTGTTTCCATGCAAGTTGCAGCAAAGATTGGAATGAAATCTCTGGCACTGAGTAGAGTATGTTCCAGATTCATAGTGACTTTATGTTTAGTGCTAACCTCTTTGACTATAAAACAGGGAGCACATATTTATTAGAGTAATCCCAGTGGATTACTCTGCATGGGGAAGAAACTGTGGTTCGTTTTTGGGCATGGTTGCCTCCATGCAAACGTGCTTCTGGCAAAGGCTCTCCTCAGGAGAGCAAGAGAGAGTACACGACAAAGCGTGTGGAGCAGCACTGACCTTGTTTCTCCCCTGAGCAAGGCATGCAGCGTGCCCAAGTTCATGCCAGGTCAGGCCTACCAAAGGCTCTTAATAAATTTTGGATTAAATAAACAAATGCTGAAGCTGTTCTTCACACTGAAAGGAATGAAGTCTGAGTTGTGGACCTACAGATAGTGCTTAACCAGCTAAAGCCCCCTTCTCACCTATAAGCTGCTGTTCCTTGTGACTGCAGTATGTTTCCTTTGCTGAAGGAAGGGACATGCACCAGGAATTGCATTGATAGGAGTCTGACATATGTCACTGACACCATATGCAGAACACAGCATACTCCCTATGTATCTGAAATGGGAGTGAAGTGAAATGCTCCACTATACGAGAGTACCAGCTGACCTTGCATTAGCAGAGAGGGACCTTGAACTTGTACAGCCTGCAGAAAAGTCAAAAGTGGATTCACTGAGACAGAAAGATAAAATAAATGCCATGCTCTTTCAGCACTTCCCTCCATTTGCTTCATATCATAAATATCAATACAGATATAGAAATACAGAAGTAAACAGTTTGTCTGGCTTGCCCTTTCCATATGCATACATTCCTGTTGTGAAAGGCTTTACGTAACTTCTAACAGCAGATTGCAAAATGATGCCTCGGTTATGGGAGGAAGCCACCAGCCATTACATTGCATTACGGTAATGTAATGGGTCTCTGAGATGAACTATATTTGGAAAGCTTGCTTTTATTGTAAACCTTGTACCCCATCCACCCCGCCGGCATCAATTTCTCTTTCTGTTCTCCAGAGACCATGAGGCCAGAATATAAGTTAGACCTGAAGAGAGCCACCGGGTGTCTGGCCCAAAACATAAACCCATGAGGCAAAATTGTGCTGTTTATTTTAAGGGATGCAGTACCAGCAACAGAATGTATTCAAACGAATGCTGATGACTGATCTGCTGAAAGGTGAATTTCTCATTAGCCTAGAGCAAGCGACATTGTAATTAATTGCTTCCCACACTTCTCTGCTAAGTAAACACTGCTCTAATAACAAGTGCTGCCGTCATTTAACTTCTTTAACTGAACATAGGGAATAGACAAAAGAAAATCTGTATTTACTTTGTTTTTCTTTCTGTGCAAATGTCACATTGCTTTCATGTTGGCAATGACTGCAGAAATGCTGATTCAGTCACTTATTTACATAATCCCTTCAGATTTTTCTTCTATATGATTGTTGATAATGAAAAGATTTTCTCGTCTGAGAAAAGGAAGGGAAGCAGGCGAGTTCTGTATGTGAATAGGCTGAACTGACATAAAAATATGGTAATTTGCATTAGTAAAAAATTATGGTAAATACCATCTACCCTACCTGCTCTAAGGAACATCCACCCCATGACAATGAATGCCTGTTCAGCTGCAGAGTGCAAACCTATATAGCAACCCTATACAAATTTTTTTACACAGCACAGTAGAGTCCAATGTTATTACCACTTAGTGCATAAAGTTACTTTACAGGGAAAAGGGTTTAAAATACTCTTATACACATGTGAATCAGTGCAGCACAGTAAGGAGGAACAGAGATACAGCTGTGGAGACAGTGTTCTCACGGGAGAATGGATAATTGGTACATAAACTCTGAATAATCCTGAAAGATACAGCGAGGCCATGAGAGGCCCAAGGAAGCTTAAGCAAGCAAGATAAGAAGCAGCTAGAATTCACTGATGTAATGAGAACTGTGGACTGTTGGCAAGCTTTCGAGGTCAAGTTCCCACACCTGTGCTTAACCAATTATATGCTAGTTGCAAAGGGTCTTCAGGACATGTATCCAATCATAATATGCCAAATCACTGTAAGTGCATGTAAGAAATAGTATTTAAGGGGTTAAGGGTTTGTAATAAACAGCTTTTTGTCTGATCATATTGATCTCTGACTGAGTCCATGTATTTTCTGCAGCATACAGCTTAGTGCACAGCTGGCTACAGAGATGATGCAATGTTGGGGAGGCTCCTGGAGCAGGAAAGGAAAAGCAGAAGCCTGCTTTGCACATATAGTGCCTCGAAATATAAAGCTCTTAATAAGCTACTTTCATCAGATGACTGAACAGAAAAGATAAGCCCCTGGGGCGGCTCTCCCCCACCAACACCTATGGATGATCTGCCTGCGCTCTGTCTTTGTTGCAGCCTTGTATTTTGCTCCTTGCTCCAGCTGTGCCCCAAAGACCCAGGGGGATTTGCTGCTCCCCATGGTTTGTCTCCTCTGTGGCCAGGGTGGGAGCAGGATTGCCTCCTCTCCAGAGCCTCACAGGCAGGGCCTTTGAATGATCAAAGGCATTGCCAACAGCTCTCAGGGGGGCTAGGTGAGTGGGCCTTGATGATGGAGACATACATGATGGCAGCTACAAAACTGTAAAAAGCTGACTTTTTATGGTGCATGATAGCAAAGCACAGGGTTTAGCTTACAGAGGCAGCACATAGCTGCAACTCAAAACAAATCTTGTCATTAAAGTGTAGGAGCCCAGCTCCACTAATCTGAAGACAGCTGATGCAGTAAGGACTGAGTTCACAGTGCAGGGAGCAGCTCGCATGCTACTAAAGCCCAGACTCCACAGATAAACCTCTGAAAGCTCTCCTGAAGATGAAACCTATCTTCAGCCTTTCTGGCAGATTAGCTAGCTGAAGAGCAGTTTTGCTCAGAGCAATCATTTAATCATCCTTTTTCTTAAAATCATCCTCTCTTCACATGTTTTAACTTCTGTTTTTTAAACTGTACTTTAACAGGAATGCTTCTGATACTGTTGTGCTGACAAATAAATTTAAAAAACCCCATACAACAAAACCCCAAACTCCAAATGATAAAACCTTCCAGTATCTTTTTTTGTAATAATTCATCCAGCAGTTTTGACTACTAAATCATTACTTAGTGTTTCCTACAGGAAGAATGGACTCATCTTTGAGAAAGAGTAATCTTTGCTTCTAGCTTGCAGCATCAAGAGCTTGTGGCTCACAGGCTCGTATTTCTTTTTTTGGTGTCCTTGGATTTGAGGAAGCTCCAAGACTGGCCTTTAATGTCCCAAAGGCCATTCCAACCATCTAAAAAACATGCAGTTATTACCTGTGTACTAGAGCTCTTTGAGAGTGTTAGAAGATCAGTGTATCAGACTAATAGAAACCCTTTTCTACCATGAGCTCTTCCAAATGCAGTGGTGCCTCTGAAACTGCACATTGTTTACTTCAGCTCAAAACTCTACCCGTGTTTTTCTAAGGATTCAGCACGTTTTTCAACTCGGCAGTCACCTCACCCATTGCAGACTATGAGTGTGGGTGGTGAGGGAGACACAGAGCCACCTTCACGCTTCAGAACACTTTCACTGCAGATACAGTCATTAAACAGACAAATTGTTTGGCTAAGGCTGAAACCTGATGTATGCTCATTATACTCTGCTGGCAATTTTCCCTGAATTTTAAATAAAGGTGTTTTGTGTTTCCATAGTAACTCGGACTCCTTTACTGAGATGCCTGATGCAGTGTATTATAGTATATAATAGCACAATTGAAAAGTATACTACAGCTAAAGGATTAATTTTGTTCCTGTGAAATTACAGACACTAACTGGTGGCTGGAGAAACAGAGAAGGAACAGAGCAGCTTTTGATGATGTATAGCGTTGTTACATTGCAGTTTAGGACAGAAAATTGATATAAGGAAGACACAACATATAAAAGAGAGGAGAGGGAATAAATGGGCTGAGTCCTGCAGCCTGCAGTTCCTCTATAAAGTGTGTCAGAGAAGCTGAAATAAGCCTGAGTGGTTTCCCTGGTTGGGCTCAAGCGCCTGCTTGACCATGGCTACTGTGCCAGGGTCATAGTGGATCCAGCTCCAGCACCAAAAGGTGGGTTTGGGGTTCATAGAATAGTTTGAGCTGGAAAGGACCTCAAAGCTCATCTAATTCTGACCCCTGGACAGGGACACCTTCCTCTGGACCAGGTTGCTCCAAGCCCCGTTCTACCTGGCCTTGAACACTGCCAGGGATGGGGCAGCCACAGCTTCCCTGGGCACCCTGTGCCAGGGCCTCAGCAACCCCACAGGGAAGAACTTCTTTCTAGAACAGGACAAAACCTCCTTGGGTTCCTTCCCGAGTCTAGAAGGTTTGTAAACTGCTTGATCTGCAGGTCTCAAGGGACTACAGCTGGAAATGCTGCTCCGCATCATCGCTGGCTGCCCTCTGAAAGAAGGTGAATACTGCTCTTGGGTGGCAATAATTAACAACCACACTACAAATAGGGAACATTGGTGGATTTCAGTAGTCTTCTCAAACAGCTGTCTATAAAATGTATTACGATTTATATAAATTGCTCTTGCATGTTCATTTATGGAAAAACTGGATCATCTCAACATGAACGTTTCATTTAGAGTGCTAATTATTGCCACTTTCCAATTTTAACCCATTTCAATGCTTTCT